AATGATATGATTATGATTATTGTTTATCTCGAAGCAATTGCCTCAGTCCTACAATAATAGAAGCGAAATCGTACCCAAAGAAAACTTTCAGTTCCTCTTCACGCACAGCCTTTCGCCGGAAAAAGTGAATATTAATAATATTTAAACTGTTATACTAATTCCAAAATACTGCATTTAATCAACTACTAAAATATAGTTGCTGTATCTTAACCAAGGCAACGTCCCATACGTTGACCTTTGGACTCAGATAACCATGTCTACTAATAATAAACCTCCAGATGTACGCGCCGTGCCGCCTATAAAAATAATCAAGAATAAAGTCGTCAGTAATATAAACACAGATAACAACTCACAGTCACAATCAGCAGCTAATAAACGTTCTCTACCTACTTCACCGGTGACCCCCACTTACACCGCTAACTCCATCGCTTCTACTGCTACCAAGAAATCAAGATTCTTTGTCTCTCCAAACCGCTACTCTGTACTTGCCGATAATGAGACCTACTCCGCCAACTCTAACGATAACAATCCAGTTGAAGTCGACATGCAAAGTCAGGGGTCCGTGCACTCTACCACGCATACACAAAAGAAACTAGATCTGCCGCCACCGATATTCGTTAAAGGCGTAAAAGATTTTTTCGAACTATCCAAAGAACTAGTTGCTATCACTGGACCAGACAGTTTCAGCTGTAAGTCAACGTCTTCGCATCTTAAACTCCAGCTTGACACTCCTGATAACTATCGTAAAATAATCCACTTTCTGAAAGACAATGATGCAGAGTACCACACGTATCAACTAAAATCTGATAAAGCTTACAGAGTAGTGTTAAGAAATCTCCATCCATCGACTCCCGTTTCCGAAATCTCAGCAGCAATTGAAGAAATTGGTCATTCTGTCAGACAAGTCACCAATATTATTCATCATCAAACCAAAATCCCATTACCACTGTTCTTTGTAGACCTTGAGATCGATGAGAACAATAGTGATATATTTGATGTCACATCCATACTTCACACAAAAATAAAAGTCGAAGAGCCACACAAACAACGACAGATTCCCCAATGTTTAAATTGCCAATCTTATGGTCATACTAAAAGCTATTGCAGCTATAGTCCACGCTGCGTTAAGTGTGGCGGAAATCATCTCTCCACGAACTGTTCCAAGTCACGCGAAACTCCTGCCACCTGCGCACTGTGCAATGCCAACCATCCAGCAAACTATAAAGGCTGTACTGTCTATAAAGAACTCCAGCAACGACGTCGCCATCCCGTGAGCTCCAATCATGCCCGTCTACAGCATCCACAACAGCCTCAACATCCTCCAGTTGACCAGTCCAACTACCAGCCAGCCAATCAAGAAACTTCTCACACCACTAATAAACCTAGTACTCGATCATACGCTAATGTAACAGGTAACGGCACCACTCAAAATAATACTGATAATTCTTCAACCAATGTTGATCTCATGCTTACCAAATTCCTAGATGAACTTAAATCAATAGTTAACCCCTTAATAAACCTCCTGACCACTGTCATCACCAAACTTATTGAATCCAAAAATGATAAATAATTCATACACCTCTAATTCCCTCCTAATCCTACTTTGGAATGCCAATGGACTTAAAAACCATAGAAATGAACTCCTTATCACTCTCCAGGAAAAAAGAATAGATGTAGTACTTATCTCTGAAACTCACTTTACCAATTTATCCTATGTTAACTTTCCTGGCTACCACTCATACCGTGCAAATCATCCAGACAACTCTGCCCACGCTGGTGCAGCTATATTTATTAGAGCTTCACTCGCTTATACTCCATTACCTAACTTCCATACAAATCACATTCAATCGTGTGCAGTTTCCTTATTGCTCAACAATGTACCTATTACCATAGCAGCGGCATACTGCCCTCCTAAACACAAAATCTCACCGGATCAATTTACTGAATTCCTAGCCACTTTAAATAATAATTATATAGTTGGCGGTGACCTCAATGCTAAACATATTCAATGGGGCTGCCGTGCCTCCAACCCTAGAGGTAACTCTCTCCTTCAAACTGCCTACCACTCTAACATTTCAATTCTCGCTCCACCTAATTACACCTATTGGCCCACATCTCGTCATAAAATGCCTGATATTCTAGATATCTTTGTCGCCAAAATTCCAAATAGCCTACACACACAAACTCAAAATTTGTTAGACCCATGTTCAGACCACTCACCTGTCTTGCTTTCAGTAGATTGCCAACCTCCCGATAAACTCAATTCATCGATGCTATCTCAATATCGAACAGATTGGGAAAAATTTGGTCACACCTTATCTGAGAAAACTGATCTAAAACTTTGTCTAAAAAAATCATCCGACATTGATGATGCTGTTAACCTACTCACAAAAAACATTCAATCGGCCGTCTGGGAATCAGCAATCCAACCTCCTCCAAGAAAGACTGAATTTAATCTTCCTATACACATTAGGAACCTCATATCACTGAAACGTCGTGCACGAGCAATCTGGCAACACTCCAGATACCCATCTGATAAGCGTCACTATAACGCCCTTGCACTAAAACTTAAACGCCTCCTTGCTAGTCATAAATCTGAAGCTTATGCAAACTACGTATCTTCACTTTCACATAATGATGGTTCACTTTGGAAGGCCTCTAGAAAACTTTTACGTATTCAAAATCCACCCCCTACTCTACGTAACGACGATGGTACCTGGGCGGTCTCTGACCAAGATAAATCAAACATATTTATGAAACATCTAGAAAATACCTTCCAACCGCATTATAACATTTTATCACCCAGCAAAATCCAAGAAGTTGAAAGCTTTATCAACTCTCCACTGCAGATGTCCCCTCCTCCTAGAGCCTTCTCCCCTGGTGAAGTTTACTTTAATATTAAAAAGCTCCCAGGAAAAAAATCCCCCGGATTTGATCTAATAACTGCAGAAGTAATCAAAAATTTACCTAAAAAATCTATCTTATTCCTAACACAAATCTACAATGCAATGCTCAGATTATCTTATTTCCCTATTCTCTGGAAATACTCTACTATAATTCTCATATTAAAACCCAAAAAGCCCCCGGACTCCCCGACTTCTTATAGACCAATCAGTCTTCTCCCAATACTTTCAAAGTTATTCGAGAAACTCCTACTAAAACGTATCATACCCATTGTCGACACTGCAAATATTTTACCTAACCCTCAATTTGGCTTCCGCAACAGCCACTCCACCGTTCATCAAGTGCACAGATTGGTAGACAAAATATCCTATGCCTTGGAAGAAAAACTCTATTGCACTGGTGCGTTTCTGGACGTCTCTCAGGCCTTCGACCGCGTATGGCATGCTGGTCTTTTATATAAACTTAAGACTCTTCTCCCTAGTCACTACTATTTAATCCTTAAATCCTATTTAGAAGACCGTCACTTCTCAGTGCGAGTAGGTTCCACCTTTTCTGCTCCTACTTTAATCAATGCAGGCGTACCTCAAGGTGCGGTCACAGCTCCCCTCCTATTTAACATATATATATCTGATCAACCTTCTTCCCTCCATACGCTTGTCGGTGACTTTGCCGACGATAAAGCTATCTTAGCCTCTAGCCCTGATCCTCATTTAGCCTCTAGCTATATTCAGGACCACCTTCACCTTCTCCAAGCCTGGTACAAGGAATGGGGAGTTAAAATGAATGAATCCAAATCGATCCATTGTACTTTTACACTTCGGCAAGGAGTGTGCCCGACCCTCCTCCTTAACAACCAACCCCTCCCCACTGCCCAAAATGTACGCTACCTTGGAGTCAACATCGACCGTCGACTTACCTGGTCAGCTCACATTAAAAATAAAACTCGAACGCTGAACGATCGTTTTCGTCTTCTCCGGCCATTCCTAACTTCTAAAAATATCAAACTACCTACTAAATTACTGCTATATAAACTACTACTCAGGCCCATCTGGTCCTACGGTTTGCAACTCTGGGGCTCAGCCAAAGTATCAAATACAAACCGTATACAAAGGTTCCAATCCAAAGTCCTTCGCGTCATCTCCAAAGCTCCCTTCTATATTTCAAATGATACCCTTCATTCCGACTTCAATTTACCCACCGTCACTAAACTAGCCAAACTCCACTACAAACGATTCAATAACAAGTTAACACATCATTCCAATCCCCTTATTGTCCAACTATCATCTACAACTATTCCAGGAAATCCCCACAAAAGATTAAAAAGACAGTGGTGTCGTGACCTACTTTTATAATTTAAAAAAAAAAAAAAATGTATATATATCAATCCAACTTATTATCACTATTATTAATATTATGTTAGGACTAATACCTTAAATTTAAATTAATATTCATGTTGAAGTACCTCCAATGGGAGGTCTCTTCACTCAGTCTCTTCTGTCTGTTTTTTTTTTCTTTTTATGTTATCACTTAAGCTTATTGTTCAATATTGTAACAGATAGCGTAATAATTAAAATTTTGTTAAAAAAAAAAAAAAAAAATTATTTTTTTTTATCAACGAGAATAAAACCTAGCTCTAGGATCTAAATTCAATAATTAAATCACGCTAAATGCAAAAAGAGCACATGTCCAAGTTTTAAAATTTTTCAGGAAACACAAAAAAATTAATATATTTGAAAAAAAATTGAATTACAAATTGTATGTTTTGAATAATATAGTTTAAGACATGGTATTCATGTTCCTACAATCACTTTAAGAAATATAATTAAACTGTAGTTATCTAAAGGACTTTAAGGTCGTGGATATGTACCGTTTATGCTTCAAGTTGCCATTTATATTTTGAAAATAACC